CCAGCATGCCCAGCACGAGATGTTGGTGCTGAGCTATCCTGCACAATGCCACCAGCCCAGGGGACCGTTTCAGCTTTTTTTGTGTGGGTTTCTCTCAGATGAGCTATGGCTACATTGTGCCAGGTAGGGAGGAGCAAGAAACATTACTGATCCAGGTCTTTTAGTGGGGAGTGCAGTGTGGGTTTCCCACCAGCAGTGCTCTGTGTTACCTGTGCCTCGCTACTCTGGAGTCTCCCTGCTCCTCCTGTAACAGCTTTAGTGCATTTCACCAGACAGAAATTGTATGAGCAAATATTGGTGCCACTTTACTGCCTGTGTACAGCATAGGTTTTCCAGGCAAGAGGGAGGCCTGATGGTGCAGCAGCTTCTCTTGGTCTCCATGGTCCTGCATGTCAGATGTAGGGAGCTGAGGAGAAGCTGATGTGCTGTTCTGAGAACCTGAGCAACTGGCATGCTCCAGAAGGCAAGGAACAGGGACTGAAGTCCTTGTCCAACTGATGCACTATACTGTGGATTTATTTTTTTCAGTATAAAGCAATTCCAGCTTGTTCAGTAACTCTGAAATAGTGGTTATTGCCATGAAACACCAAACCTCATCCAGATGATCCCCAGGTAGGAAATACAGGCAGTAGCTCCCTAATTGTCACTGTTTCATCCTTCCATTGTTTGGCTTATTCTTGTTTCACAGAAAATCTTACTCCTCCAAATGTCTTATACTAAGATTTGAAGTTCACCAGGAACTTCATTGATTGCCCTGGAATCAAAGTGCCCCTGTAAAATCCATGTGAACTTGTTCAAGGTCACCTCAAAAGTAGGTCTTGCTTACACTCACTATTAGTGTTATTGATGAAAGTTTCATCTGTACCTTTAATTCTTCCTTTCCACCTGCCCTGAGCCATGCCATACTCACTGCCTGCTTCTTTTAAAGCTTGGCTGGCAACTTGTATGTACAAGGTCAGTCCAAATGGCAACTGCAGAGCAGGAGTGCCATGAAGGGCAGTGACCCACTGTGCTGAGTGCCAAGGGGGTCACTCAAGCTGTAGCTGTCCCTGCTGTGGGTCTTGAGGTGTGGAGTTCAACTTATTTAGATGTTCCCATGATTCCAGGTGGTGGCATTCTTGGATTTGCTTTTTATTTTGTGTCTAAGGAGAGGACTTAAGAAAACTTGGGCTCCTGGAGTTCACGTACAAATGCAGTACAGTATGGTTTCCAATGCCACAATGTTTTTGTCCTCATCTCTAAGAAATAAAAATATCTATTTAGCAAAAGGAGACCCAAGCCCGATTTCTTGACAAGATTGGTAAGCAAGTAGTGGTTGAGGAAATGCAGTGCATGAAAGGAAAAGAAAATCATTCATTTACAAAGACTTACTTGGTGTCCTAGAAAATGTGATTCTACAGCTGGCTCTGCCAAAGTTTTTGTGCAGGAGGCCTGCAACTACAAATGAAATGTAAGAGCCTTGGCATCTCTGTGCTTGGTATTTTTGCTTGGCATTTACATATTTATATAAAATACCATATTTAATTCTATATATTTTCATATTTTAAAACTTTAATTCTATATCTGTTCTATCAAACAGAAGAAATATCATTTTTCAACCTCAAGTGCTCCTCTACTACTGCAAAGATTAATTATTGTGAACACTGTCAGATCTAAGATAGTAAATATACTGACATGAAAATTCTTATATTGTAAGAAAATTAATAGCTGTATTCCCCTCAAGATTTCGGTATGATAAAGACGAGACAAACATTATAAACTAGGTAACAAGCATTAAAAGAAGTAGAGAACATTGCCTATCTGCCCTATACTTCACCAAAAGTATTCACGTTCCTTCTGTTGTAACATTATATATAACTTCAGCATTCTTGGCTCCAGCATTTGGATGTGAACTTTAATGAGATTTTTTTAGGAGCTTGTTACCATGTTCTAAAATTTAGAAAGATTGTGTTATGTTCATTTGCAATCTCATCTCAGAGGCACTCTTTAGGGTCATTATCTGGGTTTCTGGTGGCCCTTTTTAATATTTCTTCGAACTGGGAGGTATCCCTTGATTCTGGGCGAAGAGCTCAGGTACAGTGTAAGACCTTAGTATGTCATATGGTCAGTCACCTGCCAAATGAGAAAACACTTGTATCATTTTGGCTCATTGACTGCAAATTAATTAAATATATGCCTCCTGAAAATAAATTTTAATTGGTTTATAAACTGCAAGTTATTATCACTGAACAGGTCCCCTCCAGACACAGACGTAGCTGCAGTTAAAATAGCAGCTGTATATTTTTAAACCTTACTTGATTTGCTGTCATAATGGTCTAAAAATAACGATTTACCAAAGTGGACAGACTGTGGACTGCAATGTGCATTCTTTCTTCACTCAGTAGCTTGAACACGAATGAAGTAATAATTTCTGGTTTGTTTTTTTGTTTGTTTCCTAACCCAGACCTTGAGACATTTTGCAAGTTGTAGGGAATCAAGAAGCGTAGAGTTTAGAGAAATATTTTGTCTCCTGACTTACCTGTGTGTCACCTGTCTCTGGATGTTATATATCAAACCTACTGAGGCAAAATCTGTAAACTTTCTGCTGAGTGTTTTGAGTTTTTAGTTCGTGTACTTGCAATAATACCATCAAATAAACCACAGGGCCAACTAAATTAACAATTAAAATACAGAGCTCCTGATTACTGGCATGTCAGAATAGAGGAAGCATTCAAACCCTAATAAATATCAGAAAGAAACTCTCTGTCCCTTCTTCCTGTCCTCTATGTTCACAGATTTGACAATGAGAAGAGAGGAATAGATATCTTTTGTCTGAAAAGAACAGCATTTACAAGTTAGAGATGAGGTAAACTATACTAAAAAATGCTTGAATAATGAGGAAGACTGATTCTGCATCTGAATGCTGTGAGATGGTCACTTTTCATAAACAAAGCATGTATTTTTTTTCTCTACACATGATTTGGATGGGGTTTATTTCAGCATACAACAATGTAAAAGCAGGCTTCTATCCAGAATCTTTGCCATCAGCCCTTTCTGTGTTTTGGGGAACAATAAGGCCTATGCCTCTAATGTAGGGGCTTTTTTAATCAACTATTTCTCCCCAAGAGTTACTTTTTCAGTGGAAAGTATTGTTCACACAGTTGTGTTTTTATTGCAGTGTAATGTACCCAGCCTTTGTCTGACCTTATGCAAGTCATGGTTGGGACTATTTTTAGAGATTATATTTGCAGCAAAATGCTACAAGAATGAGAGCAGCAAGGATGCCGCCAATGTGAAATAAATCTATCTGTATCTCCTGCTCCTCTGAGCTGCATAAAAGTAGATGTAACTAAAGAGCCTAAAGAAGGACAGGTGCCACCCTAAACCACATGTATTTAAGGGCTTGGTGTGGTTGAGGCCACCCTGGCCAGCACCCTTGTGTCACCTCTGTGCAGAAGCCAGTGCTTCCCAAGGCAAGGCAGGGATGTTACAATGGGAAGTCTCAAAGTTTTATTTTCTACATTGCTGTCTTGAGCTCTTTCCCTGCAAAGGTGAAGGTACCTGAGCCTTATACCTGAGAGCGTAAGTTTGTCTCTGAGTAAAGGGACCACCAATGGTGTGTTCCTTTACTCTGCAGGGCCGAGAGGGAATGGGATTGATTAATTAGGAGATGTAAGCAGGTATTGATCAGCATCAGAAGCTGCAAAAGATGGAACAAAGTTGTGTTGAGCAATTAATGCACATGAAATTTTCACATGTAAGTGCTGGTATTTAGTGCAGGGACCCACAAGCATTGCCTTTCCCAGACACCTTTCCTTCTCCAGTGCTGTTCATGACTTCCACTGCCAGGGTGTAAAGGTGTGAAAGACACGAAGTTAAGGGAACACCTTCAGGAAAGAGAGAGGAAGCTCTTCACATAGAATCTCTTCCCCTGGAGCCTGAGCCCGCTTCCTCTGCAGCACACCTCTCCTCAGGTCTAGGTCACTTAACCATGGGTTTGCAAAAGAAAACACATCTAGGCAAACACTACTGTGTTTTCTTTAACCCTAGGAAAAATAAAACAAAGTCTAAATTGTTTTGCTACCAATGTCTGTCTTTTCTCAGAGCCAAGTGAGAGTCTATTGGGCCTATGGTAGTTCCTACTGCATGGAACGTGGCAGGGGAAGATCTGTCAAAATTTTTTCGTATTTTCACATAAAGAAGAAAAGTACCCTGGGTCCTGTTCGAAAACAAAGCTCGAGTTCCTCCTTATTGTTAGCTTTTTTCTTTCCACTAAGATTCACAGTGATTCCAGAACCAGCTGCTATAGTAAGGAGCAGGAAGTCAAAAGTTGGGAGGTTTCTACTTGCAGCAGGTCTTCTATAGGCCAAGTTACTGACACCAGCTGAAGGTATCCAGGGAAGTAGCTCCAGGTTGTGACTGAACAGCCTCTGGTTCTGTAAGCCAATAATTGGAGTCTAAGGGTAAATCAGGAAAGCAGAGTAAAGAAGGCCAGGAAATTAGCTCTTACCCAGGCAGTTTTTCACACTGGGAACTGGGATCCTGAAGATAACCCTCGCTCTTGACCTTGCTGGTGTAAAGCAAAGGGAGGTTCATTTGTGCAACATTCATGTCTTTGTGGGGAGATGAGAAGAGGCCTAGGCCAAATCTAGAGAGGAAAAAGGAATGTCATTTTTCCTACTCAATGCTGAGGAAGTGGGATGCTCCACTGTGCCCCTAGCAGTCTTGATTTCAGCACCCTGGTGAAATACTGGGACAGAAAACAGCTCATACCCTGTCTGCCTGAGCTAAGGAGTGAAGACCTTATCTGTATCTGTCCTGCTACCTGGCCACGCTGTAACATGGGGATATATCAGAGGTGATATGTGACTGTATGGAGCTGGCAGTCACTTCCTCACAGCCCTGTTCCCACAAGAAGTGCATGTGAGCACCTCATGTGTGGAAACCAAGTATGGGCATGGAGGGTCTGTGGCCATCCTCATTCCTTCAGACAATAATTCTTGTCTTCTTGTCTTTGCCACACACAGCACCGGGCCCAGAAAGCTCCCCCTGGGCAACACAGGCACTGTGAGCGATGTTTCAGCCGGCACTGTCGCGCACCCATTGAGGTCTCCGTGTCCTGCATGGTGATCAGCTGCCGCCTCCACTGCGGGGCCACCTTCCACATGTGCAAGGAGGAGGAGCACAAATTACTCTGCCCCTTGGAGCAGGTGTCCTGCCTCAACTCAGCCTATGGCTGTCCTTTCTCCATGGCCCGCTTTAAGCTGGGGAAGCACCTCCAGGTCTGTCCAGCCAGTGTTGTCTGCTGCTCGATGGAGTGGAACCGCTGGCCAAACGTGGATTCAGACACAACCCTGCACAAGAATATTATGAAAGAGACCTTGAACGAAGAATGTCTGGACACAGCTTTGGCACTCAGAGACCAGAAGATACTTTTCAGGACTTTGAAAATAGCTGAATTATTTCCAGAGTGGAGGAAAAAGGATGAACTGGAGGAACTAATGGATCAAGCCATGGGTGGGGAAGCAGGTGCTGTGGGAGGAGCTGCCTGTGGTTCCCAAGAGGGCAATAACCAGTCTGAGCTCAGTCAGCGTGAGCGGGAAGATTTGGCAAAGGACAAAGAAGGAATGGACCTGGGGAGTTACAAAACCTGGGAGAACATTTTCAGCAAAGAGCTTCTGGCTTGCCAGGTAACGGGCTCAGCAACCAGCACAGGACAAAAGACGGAGGAGGCTTCCAAGAAAACAGCATCAGCCTCTCATGCTGCCAGCTCCACAGAAAAGGCAAAGGAAGGACCTGATGGTGCAGAAGAAGGAAAGGGCCAAAAGTCTGAACAAGTAACACCAAGTAGAGAACTGAATGGACTGGCTCCCTGGCAAGAAGGGGTCCTGGAAAGGCTGAAGAAGGAAGTCGGTGTAGCTGATTACAACATGTATCTGGTGCATCACGGGGGAATGCTCATCCGCTTTGGCCAGATGGCTGCTTGCACTCCGAGAGAAAAAGACTTTGTCTATGGGAACTTGGAAGCCCAGGAGGTGAAGACTGTCTACACCTTCAAAGTGCCAGTTAGTTACTGTGGCAAAAGAGCACGACTAGGAGATGCACTGGGTCACAAAATGCCAACTTCAGACAAGTCAGTGGATACCTCAGAACTGGGAATAAATGTAGAAGAACTACCTAAGACAAACATCGTTGAAGCCACGCTGCTGTGTGCTCTGGAAAAAGAGCTGAAAGGCCATGAGATCTCTGAAGCAAGAGGTATCGATGGACTCTTTGTGGATTTTGCAACACAGACATACAGCTTTCCTTTGGAGCCCTTCTCCTCTGGTGCAGTTCTAGCAGATGTTCTGGATGAAAACAGCCCACCAGAACTGCACATGGAGCTCTACACTGAATGTGTAACCAGAAGACACAACAAAAGCAGTTCAGCTTTCACATTCACTTGCAGTCATTTCTTTAGGAGGGATGAGTTCCCATCCCACTTCAAGAATGTGCACGCTGATATCCAGTCATGCCTGGACGGGTGGTTCCAGCATCGCTGCCCACTGGCCTACTTGGGATGTCCTTTTGTCCAAAATCACTTCCGCCCTGAGGGACTTAAGGCCAAGGTTATTTACAGCAAGCCTCTCAAGACATTTGCTATTAAGCCAGAGGTGGACACCATACTTGCTGAACCAGGCAAGTGCAATTTCACAGTGGATAGTCGAGGGAGAAACAAGGACTTGCTGAGCAGCCTCCCAGTGGAAGTGCTCAAGTACATTGCAGGATTCCTGGACAGCTTCAGTTTGTCTCAGCTATCACAAGTATCAGTGCTCATGAGGGACATCTGTGCCACCCTTCTTCAAGAGAGGGGAATGGTCCTGCTGGTCTGGGAGAAAAAAAGATATTCGCATGGTGGTACTTCTTGGAGAGCTCGCAAAAAGGCAAGTGACTGAGACACTGGGAAAAAGAGTCATGAGTTCTCTTCAGATAAACAATAGGAATAACAAGAAAAGCTGCATATAAACCTGCAAATGTGGGAAAGGTTGATGAGGTTGTGAATTTGCACAGGGGTTTGTTGTCAGGGACCAGGGCTGTAGAGTGCAGTACATCTAGCAAAAGGATGAAGGTGTAACTAGACATTTTCTGACCAGCTGCAAGTCCCCACCCAAGCTCGTCTTGGGTAACCCTTTTGCATATGCACCATTTCTAGGCACTGACAACTAAGAATTCCTGATTATCATCCCCATTAAAAATGGCAGGTGATAACTAAAGCAGCAAAAGCAGCAAGTATGAGGTACATAACAATACAGACCCCATCTTCACTTGCTATGCCAGCCATTCACAATCAGATGTTCATTAGAGTGTCCAGAGTGGGTAATGCACACCCATTATAAGCATAGCCAGGTATTTTAAATCCTTGTTTTCTCTCCCCTATTCCTGTCCCCTCTCTTGCATTAGATCTGGCAGTTCAGCAGCCTGTTCTCCAGAGTTCACAACTGGCAGCGCAGTGACGTCCCGAGCATGTCGGAGCACCTGAGGAATTGTCCCTTCTACCAGGCAGAGCACAGGACGGACCCCGTGCTGCTGACGGGCATGACTGAATCTCGGGAGCAGACTCGAAAGACTTTGGTCTCTACTTTCAAGCACAGAGTCTGAACAGCTTGCTTCCCCTCTGCCATGCTTCCTTCAGGGCTCCTGAGATGAAGATTTGGGGATTCAGATGTAAAGATTGTTGCTTCCAACTCTCCTTTGGACCTACAAAATTGGCTTCTCCCCAGCTGCGTTTGCAACATCTGCTTTTTTTTTTCTCCCCTGCATTAATTTGTTAAAACTTCAACCATTGCTTACTAACATCACATGCTTTCTGTTTATGTTTCTGTTCCTGGTTTGATACAGCATCTTGAAGAAAGCAATGAGGATCTTATTTGAAAACAGCATTTTTACTTCCTTGAAGGTAGGCTGCTGCTCCTGTACTATGTGCCTGAGGGAAGCAAGAGCAGTTAATCTATTTAGCTCAAATAAATCTGAAACACCTTAGTTTTGTCTGGAAAGCCAAGTTCTTGGAGCACAAGTAGATGCCCTCCTGCCTGGCAGACCTGGGGACTGCTAACCTGCTCTGAGACATGGGCAAAAGAAAAGGACACCCCAAAATTACGTGAATTAATTAGAACTCTGGTGAGAACTTGGGAATTCACTGTGCAGCCACAGACCATCATTTAGGACCCTAACTAAAGCAAGCAGGCCTAGCTGAGTGCAAGCCTAAAGCTGAGCTCGTAGGAGCGTTCAAACCAAACCAAAGCAAACAAACTTGCTCTTTGTTAGAAGTAATTTTAGAGACTCAATTGACTTTTTATATTTTAAGGTAACAACTTTCTGTGGTTTATCTGAAAATTCATTAAAGCTATTAAAGAATATTTGAAGTCATTTTTAAAATGCCTAAAATGCCTGAAAAAAATGAGTTTTGCAGTTGTAAATTGCAAATTCTAATTGTAAGCAACTGGAAACAGGATGTCAAAGAAATAATATTCTTTTCCATAAAAGATAAGTAATTCAGTAGCCCATTCAGAAAAGTATGGGTAATATTTGCTTCAATTAAATGGGCTAGAGCATAGAATCTTTTTTTTACACAGCAGAAAAGTGATTAGAATTTGGTTTATCTTTTAATAAATACACTAACTTCAACCAGAATGGGCTTGCTGAGGCAACAGATGAGAGAAAACAGGCATGTTACCAGCAGTGTCTGTCTCATTACACTATTTGAACCTATTTCAGTGGTGCTAGTCAGAAATGGCATGGATGTGGTGGTGGGTGAGATTCCTCTGAAATGGCCATAGACTTATTTGTCAGCTTGGGACAGTTTCCAGCCACTGCACAGCCACAGGGTGCTGACTCACCCCCTTTCTTTTTGAAGCTCATAGAGAGAAGTGTGAGCTCAGGACTGAAGTCCGGCTTTCATCTCTCTCTTGGGTAAGAGAACCTTGTTGAGAGCTGGGATATTTGCTGGACTAGTGCTCTTCTCACCTGGGCTGGCCAGGTGCAAACTGGCTCTGGTAGATGGATGAGTGCCACACTTGCCATCCTCAGCCCCAGTGCAGAAGGAGCCCCTCTTACCCAGAGAGGCTGCTGAAGAACCTGAGCTGAGTGCTTGGTAATCGAAGGCATGAATTGTGTGGTGACCCAAACCACTCTAAGGGCAGCTCAGCTTTGTCTACACTAGCAGCTTAAGTGGGCCCTGTGAGATTTTTAACCATATGAGGATGTTTTTTATCTCCAGATACACACCCTCAGGAGCATACAGTATGAGATGTGAGGACAGTGGAATGGTCTCGGGAAAAAGAAAAGCAGCAGGTTTTTTGTGTTGTTGTTGTTGTTTCGGTTTTTTTATGCTACTCTATTTTTTGCCCCTAGAGATCCTTCCTGGGAAGTCTCATAATGCTCTAGATATGAAAATAAACTCTGCACATGCATCCTGCAGAAAACACAAGTAGCATCCCAGGTTTATGAAGAGGAAACTGAAGGAGATGAACACAGGGAACCTAAGCTGGACCAACAGCAGTTAGAACCAGATGCTTTGATCCTTCATCCTTGTGGCTTAAGCCACTGCACAAAAACAAACAGTCCATCCTTTAAAGCTGCTGACAAAAACTCACCTGTCCTCAAAATGTTCCATATAACATAAGTTGCCCAATATTATCTCCTTGTCTGACCGAGCAAAATTGACAGATGTGGAAATATGCAGCCAGAATTTCTAGACTTCCTAGGTCTCTAGAATTCCTAGGTCTCTACATCAGGGCCTCATTCTTCACTTATCATGTATCTGATTTTGAAAGATGCTGAGCACCCAACTGTTGCTGCAGACCACAGTATATGCAAATGCATACCCAAAAAAATGGGTGCCAGATTCTCTGCTGGGTGCTTGAAAATGGAGCCACTTGCTTTTATGGATAATTTGGGGAGGGTGGAAAAAAAAGTTGCTTAAATAATAAGATCTAAGAGTAAGTCAATGTTCAAGGCTGGCTTGAGGCACCATGAAAAATTTCAGCCTGTTCTTGTCACTCCCTGCTCCTGGAGATGGCATGACTTCAGTTCCAGCCTTATTACAATAGATCCTGCTTCTTCCCTCCACAGGAGATGCCTGAGTCAGACTTCAGGGGCAGGCAACCTTTGGAAATTCAATGGTTGATGGTGTAGGTCAGAGTTAGGAATATGGGAACCTCTACCTCATGGGATCATCCAGGGTGTGCACAGAACATCCAGGAGACTGGATCATTTCCCTTCTGGTATTCCTACAGGGCATGCTGGAGGAACACACGATGTTCGTTCATAGAGAGACATTTGCTCCTGTGAATATATAGGTGTATTTCTGTAAACTCTAAATTTGATTAAGTAACCTTCAGCACATCCAGTGAAAGCTGAAGATCCACAACCAAAATCTTCAGGTTAACCCTGAAAATCTTTGGGTTAACCTGATCTGGGAGAGGCAAAGCTGTACAGGGAAGGGGAAATCAGCCTTCCATATCTGCATACTCGCCTGGTAAATGTCAGCAGGGAGCTGCTCCTCACTTCATCCCAGCCTTACCAGGAGTGGAGAGCTGTGGGTTGGTGTCAGATGCAGCTTTATTAGTCTAAGGGTCATGCCAAGCTAGCTCAGTGTTGATGGTCCTGCCCATTAGCAGAGTCAGGAGGATTTAGGAGCTGGATGGAACTGAATTTTCCTACACTCTGTGTCTTGGTGAGCACAATGCTGGCTTATTTAAAAGGTGAGAGGCTTCAGTTTGGGCTCAGCAAGTCCTTATCTCCTGGTTTAAGTTTGTAATTTGGCCAAGAAAACTTTGTCTATATTTCAGCTTGAGGAATTTGATTAGAAGAAACTGAGCATTTGGTGTTTTTCAAAATAGTCTATTGTTTTGGCAGGGTCTGAACTGGAAAAGGGGACCCATTCCAGCAGAGCATTGAGGCTGCTCTCAATCCAGCCCCCACACTCTGGATCTTCATGACTTTGATCTTGTTTGTGCTGTCCACAAGTCCTGTGAAGTGCAAGAGCAACACTCCACAGACTCCAGGCTGGCGTGTCTTGCAGTGTTTCCTCTCACTGGAAAAGTGGAAGTGAAATGAAGGCATCGTGGAAACCAGAAAAGTCAGAGTAGGGCAAAAAAAACCCATGACAAGAGAAGACAGGAAACAGAAAAGGTAATGGGTTTGGATGGAGAGACCTTCCTCTTTGTAGGTGGTGTAGGAGAGGCAAGAGGAGACAGGTAAAAAGGCACAGGAATGAAAGGAGTTGGGATGTGCTGCCAAAACCAGAGGTTTTCTGGATAAAAGCATTTCCTTGAGAGAGAAATTCCCTGTTGGTGCTATGCAGTAACATGGGGCAGATGATAATTTTTAAGGGGTGAAAGGGCATGTGACCTACTGACATGTATCCTAAGTCTGGGTTGAAGGGAGGAATTTTTTGATGGACCTCCAACTCCCAAAACTGAATGGGCACAGATAAGGTGAAGTTTATCTGAACGGTGCCTGTTATTTTGTGAAACTCTGTAACTCTTTGTTGTGTTCTTAAGAATAAAAATTATTATGGTAAAAAAAAATGCATTCAAATTCAGGTCTTAGCTTGTTTTCTTGGCTTCATCACATTAATATGTTTTGCCTTTAAATCAGGTGTGGCAGCTCCTGCACTCTCAAATTCATTATGTTTCTGTCCTCTGCTCTGTTCTTCATAATCATTTTCCTGGTTGAAGATTTTTATTTTTATATGTTTTATATTTATTTAATTTTAACAAATATTTTTAGGTTTGACCCCTTCCTCTTTGTACAGCCATTTTCTCCTTCCTGGTTCAGTTATTTACTTAAATGAAAAACTATATCTTCTTTTAAAAATCCATTTTCCATATTGATGCTACATTATATCTACAAACATATGAAGAGAAGTTTTCCCCTTACTCTTCACTTTGTGGCTGTTTATCCAGGTAGCTACAAAGGGGCTTTTGCTTCTTGGCTTTGCATGTTCCAGAGACACTGCACATCTCTGTCACAAGTTCTGAGCATCTTTCACATACAGTTTCCTTACCAATGCTCCACACTAAAAGAGTCTCAAATTCCTTGGGGTTTAATTTCTCTTGAAACAAAACATGCATATGCAGTGCAGGCTTATTCTTATTTATCTTCTCACTGAATTTATATGTAAGGAAATTATGATTGCATGCTCCAAATTTATTTCTGATGGCCACCTGCTCTATGACTTAATTGCTATTTACAACTAATGAATCTTTTGTAGGTTCAGTGATGGTTTGGTGAAGGAATTTGTCATGTCATGCTGAGAGTCATAGGCCTGAGGCCCATTAGGATGATGAGAGATGATTCACTGGCCCATAACTCTGAAGTTACTTTCCCCATGGCAGCAGAGCTCTTACTGGGGTATCTCTTTTCATATTTGTTCTCTTCCTACATAACCAGATATGAACTCAAGCAGTTCATGGCTGACACTGAGCTGCACCAGAGAAAAGCCCCTTTTAGCTTTCTGAGTTCCATCTAAACAACTTGTAACATCATACATATGATATCAATGAACTGGTTTTATTTTCCTTTCTGCCAGTCCTGAACAGCAGAATTTTCAACATCAGGGATGACTGTTACGCTACTGTGTTCCTGGTACTTGCATGATATCTAGTTTACACCCTATATTGTTTCCTACAATATTTAGAAGGTGGTTGCAAAGATAATGGAGCCAAGGTCTTCTCAATAGTAGCAGGTGATGTAGCAGGGGACAGTGGCAACAAGTTGAAACTTGGTAGGTTCAGGCTGAACTTCAGGAACAACTTTTTTGCCAGAAGGGTAAAAAAGCAGCACTGGAATGGTTCCCCAGAAAGGTGGCAGCATCTCCACTCTTGGAGGGTTTCCAGATATGGCTGGACAAAATTATGGATACCTGACTGAGTCAGAGGTTGGACCAGAGACCTCTGGAGGTCTCCTCCCAGCATCACTTCTCTGATTCCACAGCATCGCTTGAGATTCCCCGCAGTGCACCGGTGTCTGCCACTCTGGCCTCACCTGCTTCCCTTAGCTGAACTGGATGGTTCTTTGGCTACTGCTATTGTCTGCTGCTGCTTTTCTCTGCACAATGAGTGTATTCTTTCCCCTTGATGTCTAGACCTCTGCTTATGGATACCTCCTGATCTGTCGTCACCTAGTGATTTAAGAGGTTTTCATCTCCCTGAGCAGGAAAACAGATACACGGTGCTCTCCCAGCACCACTGAATGGCTCTCTTGAACTTGATGCCTTCATGGTAAAGCTGTGCTTTGTTGGAATATGTGTGTGCCCTCTGAGAGCACAGATAATGCTGGACAATAACCTGTAGGGCCAGGGGAACACAGGGGAGTGTGTCTCTGACTGGCAGGGACTCACAGGGTGTGCTGATAGGTGTGTGATCTTACCCTGGAGAGGCAGTGGGAGCACCAGGCAGAGCAGCTGGCCACATCTGACAGCTCTTGGCTCCTAAGCATAGCTTCTGCAGGAAGAGTTAATATTCCTTGTGAGGACTGAACTGGTGAGTGAGGATGGGACTGGAATGCAAAGGGAAAGTCTGCATCCAGACCCCCTGCAGCTGTAGCTGGGGGTAATCATGTTTTCCTGCAGATGTGTCTCCATGATTTTAGCTGGCCACAGCAAGGGTGAGTTCTGTTACTGTGAGGAGAGGAAACAGACCAGCAGAGAAGCCAACTTCTCTCCATGTGTTTGAAATCCAGAGAAAAGACAGTAGTTAAACACCATCAGAGCTCATCCATTTCCTTTCTCGCAGCTGGTTTTATTCCTGGTGATGTTTCTTCCTGCAAAGCCAGGGCTGAATTGGCAGCTACTGGTGGCACTACACACCCACTGGGCTAAAGTGGAGCTGGAGCCGGCTCATGCGACTGCAGAGCAACTTCTTTCCAGCTGAAGAAGGTTTTGCAGGGACTGCTTTCAAACACTGCAAGTTTGGAAGGGCTCCTTGACCCCAGCAGTTGTGCCTCATTCCCCTGCTGCCTCCAGACACCCAAGCTTGGTGCAGGAAGAGTTAATAGGTTTAAATGTAGGGTGTTTTTCCCTGCAGCTTTGTCAGTGGGAAAGTGAAGCAGCTCTGGTAGCCAGTGTGGAGCTTCTCCTGCACCCCCACCCCTGTAGTGAAGGTCACCCAGTGAAAATAGAGTCTTCTGAAAGATGAATGCTCTTCCAGAGAGGAAAATGGTACAGGGCAAGAGGGATCTATTGACAGTCAGTATCCAACCCCACACAGAATCCCTGCTGTGTAAGGTCTAGGATGGGGAGGAGGTGGACTCTGAGGTTCCTACACACAGCTTTCAGCAGGCTGGTGAGGGCCCTGCCTTATGTCCTGGCTCATGGTCACTCTGTGCCTCTCCAGCAGTGTCACCATTGCCCTGCTGCTCAGAAAAACTCACTGCAGCAGTCAAGGAGGGAACATTGCTGACTACAGGTGACCAGGTCACCAAAAGTCCATGTAGATGTATCAAAGCTGCTAGGAAGTGGGGACCCCATCACTTGGCTGCAAGGACTGAGTCTGGGGGACAAGAGATGTAGCATTTGTTTGTGTGTCCACCCCACAGCACCAGGCCTAGCAATCACCCAGCATACCACCACTCCCAACACCCACTGTTACAGCTACTCATCTTCTTTCTCTTGTGGACAGGCTTTTGTACTGTGCTATCAGTAAATCAACTCCCTGTTTTCCTCCTCCAGAATTTCCAAGAGCTCATGTCATTCCAGCAGTGGCATCATTCAAGAGAGATGTGATGACTAGTTTGACCTGCCACAACACAGAAATTCCTCTCCCAAACACGTACTTCTCCAGCCACTGGCAAAGTGGAGGTGGCACCTCCAGCATCACCTCCTGCCTCAGCATCAGCTCAGTCTCAGCACAGGCACCAGCCACCTACAGCTGCCCTGGCAGAGCCCATCTGTCTGAATGCCCATCTCAAGGCACCAGGTTGGCATCAGGGGCAGAGGGATGAGTTCTTCATCCTGCCCAGACCTCCTCACACCTCATCTACCCACTGTGGGCATCAAAACCTCTGAGTCACTCCACATCTTCCTGGTTTCCCATGCTTTCTTTCTGCTCTCCTCTCACACCCATTCTCTCTGTCCTTCTCTACACTTTCATTCTTCAGCTTTTATTTGACTCCCTGAGCTTCTGAGGGAGCAAACATCTCATTTCCTTCAGGGGAAAAGAGATTTTATGACTGAAGGTGAAGTGACGGAGCAAAAGTCTGTAGCGAGTGGGCTGGACCCCAGTGGACAGGCACAAGAAAACAACCATGCCCCAAGGATTTAGACACACAGCTGGACCCAGTGTTCAGCTGGAGGCTGATGCTGCTAGAGAACTACAGCAAAAAATGCTTCCCCCTGTTGGAGCTGTTTGGGTTCGCACTCTCCTTGCTGATGTCAGATTGTTCCCGTGTCTCCTTCTGACCCAGCAGGGAAAAACAAGCCATACCTGCCATTTAACGAGTTATGACACATCAGTGCAGCCAGTGCAACTGGCCCTGGGTCTGGGTGGCTTTGGCTCACTTGTTTCCTGTCACATGTGTGTGCCTGACAAGAGCACGGCCAGCTGCTGGGGAACACGCTTGCTTAGCTGTGACAACTCGCTGGCCATTCCACTGCTCCAGGTAACACAATGCCACTGACCCTTCTCTTCCTCTGCAGAGCAAGGGAGATCCCAAGGACAGGTGGGGACAGGTGTTATTGCTGCTGTCATCTTCATCACTGACCTGTTCACTATGCTCAGGAGAAGAGCAGATGAGAGTTTAAAATGCTGAGCCTCTTCCCTCATGGTTGAGATGCAGAGAAGAGCATCTGCCTCTCCCCTGCACAGCTGCTTAAGAGAGATGGAGGTCAGGATATCACAGGATCCTGCAGGGAGAGGCGGGGAGTGGATGAGCTGGAGACTCATTTCTGGTGGAAGGCAACATGAGGTGATGTTTTGCACTGCTTCGGTCTTACTGCATTTTACTTCTTTTTTTGCTTCTCTCTCCTTTTCAGATAAACCAAAGCCTCGGCAACTTCGAAGGGCTTCAGAATAGAGGACACCTTTGTGCCGCTCATCTGCAGCCCTTCGCCTCCTGTCCCTTGACATATCCTGCTCAGAAAAGCCAGCCCTGTCCAAATATTAACAGAGCACTTGGTTAGTATGAGAGGGGGAGGGCTGCCCTTGGTGGGGGAGCTGAGTGACCACTCAGGGATGGACTCACAGGAAAACACATCTTCATCCAGGGGGGGCAGCCCAGACAGCCTCAGCTCTGTGCTGCATTGCTGCCTTACAGACAACAGCAAAAGCTTCTAGAAACACCTCTTCCCTGCTTTCAGAGGAAATTACAGGGCATGTAGGTGTGTTTGTACCAACTGCATATATGTGGAAATACAGGTACATGCACGTATGTGGTAAGTATATGTAGAGCATGGATGTAGATGTGTACCTCCAGATGTGTGTAAGTACAGTTGGTCAATGTCTACAAGGCATTAACCAAGATCTTTATGTATTTATGCATTTTTTGTGTGAAGCTGAGCATGTATGTAGGCAAAAATTGGTACTGCAAAATGGTAAACCCTCAAGCAGAGGAAGTTAAGGGTTAAACTAATGGCAAATCAAGCAGTCAGAAAAACAGGACTCCTCGGGAGAAAGCTGCAGTAAAATTTTTATTAATAGACATTTCACTGCTGGGAGTTTACAAGATGAAGAATACCTGAGTCTGTAGCTGTGGAAGAAAAAGACACAATTCAACACTTTTCTGGCCTAACAGGGAATTTGAAGGTTAACACTAAAAAATCTTGTATAAAACCAGCAGGGGGGAAAAAAAAGCAGAAGGAAGGGGTATGGAAAGGAGGTATATGGCACACAATAAAAGTGAGAATTTATGAGGCATACAAGGTGATAAGGAGTGTTCAAAATAATCTGGAAAAACTGGATTGCTGCAAGTACTAACGGCACATGGAAGCATTTTTCAAAATACGTTGAAAACTAAGAAATAGCAGTGAGGGCCTAGGCTCTTACTGGGTGGATATAGGTAAAACTGTTGATAGTGAAGATTTTTGATGGAGGCTTCTTGATACAGAAAAGTTAGTTGTTTGTATATAAACAGATTTGTGTATTGACACTACAGGATGATAGTAAAAAACTTCTTCATCCTTCTGCAAACTAAGGAAAGTTTTAACATCATCTATTAAGCATAAGTATTTTCAGAACAGTAGCCAAGCAGATTCGCATCTCAGAATCATAAAAAAACTTGACTGAGTAGGCACCTGGCCCAGTGGAGTTAGGTATTTAAAAATCCTGGTGTTCTAGAGAAATCCCAAGGTCTTGGAAAAATACGTGCCAGTGTCCAGAGAGAGAAAGGGAGATGACACCTGACTGTTAGATGGTTCTGTAGTAATAATCATAGGTAAGAGAGTGTGAAGTTATTACGAGTTAGCTAACAGATGCTCCAACAATTGATATAACTTTCATCATTTAGTACAAAAAAAATTAAAAAGTTCTGAAAACCAAACCTGACTTCATTCTTTGACAAAATAATGCATTTGACTGATGAAAGCACTGGTGCAAACAAATCAAGAAACTGTAAATTCTGAAGAAAAAAGAATAGCATCTGTATACATCACAATTTGCATTACATGGATTAATTAGCAGCTAACAGGCAAAACTTCGTTGTCCAAAAAGAAGCACCAATCACTGCTGAAAATGTGTGTCTCTCTGCAAGAACTGTGATGTTTAATAATTGCATCAGGAGATACAACGGTAAAAAACACTGTTGATAAAATTTGCAAATGTCAAGGTCAGTAGCTAAAGGAGAGGGAGTCCCTCAGATGAGCACGAGTCACCCAGCCAGGTGAACATCCTCAGCCAAGACAGGATGCTCAGTGGTGTTAGTGGAGTCTCTTCAGGTCCTGGACCACCATGCTCTCTCAATGCTGCTGATCCTTGAATCCCTCTGAATTGTCTGACCTGTGGGAACACCTAAGAGTGGCCAGGGGCAGAGTGTAACTGCTGCTGGAAGCACTTTTTGCATATATCCTTTCCTCTTCACTTTTGATGCTGCTCTTCTGGCTCAGGACTCACGGAAGCTTCGTGGATGTCTCCTGCTGGACTCGGAAAACCCCAGATGGGTGTGTGACCGCTGGCTCCCGTGCAGACAGAGAGGAAGAACAAGCTGCCAAGAGCAGGAGCCTCACTGGCAGCCACTGGAGAAGTCACTGTCACCTGTGACTGACAATGAAAGGCCAGCAAAGCCTGAAGCTGCTGCACTCACCCACCGAGAAGCCGCCCACACGGCTCTTTATTATCCTGAAAGCCTGGAGAGGGTCCAGAGCAAAATAACAGGAGCAATTAGGAAGGTCAGGCAACGCCTGACAGGGGACACTCTGAGCCATTGCTCTGGTCTGGCTAAACCAGTATCTCTCAGTCACACCACAGAAAACACAGAGCACTGGTGGCACCGTCACCTGCAGAGAAAGGCACAGTGAGACTCAACCACTGCAAGTTATATTTAGGCACATTCAGAGCAGAATAAGACCTCACATCCACAATAGTGAGGATGACTGTCCTAGCTATCAGTCAGTAAAAGGGGTAGACTGACTTTTGAGGTATTCAAATAAAGGTCAGGTTAGTTTTATAAAGCTGTCCTTTCATAATAATAATTTTAAAAAATTAAAAGAAAAAAAAAGAAAACTAATTGCATCAGTGAAAAGAGTCGCTGGGTAAAATTCCAAAGCCTGTGTTACACCGGAAATGGGAGCTGGCAGTTTGTCTGCCTTTTTGGCTCATGAACTTGGAAGGAAGGAAAAATAATGGAGATATGAAGAAATGCATTAGGAGTGGCCCTATTCTTCATAAGGAAAAATATACCATGGCATTTGATTTTATTTGACTACCTGCTCTCTGATATTCCCCACTAGAGTATGCAATTACTGTGTCCCTGGCAATTACTGTGTCCCTGAAGGTCTCAAGCTGGATTTAAACCACAAAAACAAGTGAAGCAGATACTCTAAAGCAGAAAAAAGTAATACTCACTGATAAACAAGGTGACCTTGTGCTTAACAGCAATATTCATTCCATTTTAAATATAAAACACTTATTACAGAAAATGTCACTGAGACTAGGAGTGCATCAAATATAGACTTGATTGCATTAAGAAGACAGGGATAAATAATATTAGTCATTCTGCTTCTCTGGGAGACAGCCATGCTGCCTTCCAAGGTCAAATGTGCCGTGGCCAAGTGCCACATGGCATCACTGCCTGGCCACGTGGGTCGAGGAGCAGGAATCTGGTCATCATCTGATTAGCTGCTGGGCACACCAGACCACTGTAAGGCACACTGTGTCTGTGCAAATAAATATTAAATTTAGGTGTTTAAAACTAACTCTTTAGGAGAATTGTTGGGTATAAGATACAAAATTTTAATACGTGTTTTGTCAACCTGCAAAACAAAAGATTAAGTTCTTTGCGCTGGAGCCAACAAAGATTACTTGGAGGCTGTGGCTGCATTGTTTTGTGGATATGGACAAGCCAGAACGTCTAAGGTGGTATTAAAAGAGCAGACATTTTTCAAAGAATAAAGCCAAGCTCAAGATTATCTTTTCCCCATGGGTTCCACTTGTTTTATTGTGCCTCTGCTCATTCAATTTAAATTAGAAAATTAAGATTCAGCAGTTTAACTACATTGGTTAAGAAGCACTTTATGAACAGAACTGAAGCTCAGCTGCCTCCAAGAAAGCGTACACTGACCAGAGGTAAATCATTTAAATAAACTGTGTTTGCTTCAACCTCACATTACATCACAATCACACATTCTGCAGTGTTTCCAAAGCAGTTGTGGGCATTGTTTCTCCAGCACAGGTAAGGCAGCACAGGCACCGTGTTCAGCCAAAGCCCTTTTCTGGACCGTGGCAGACACAAGAACAGGAGAGGCCACTCCTGACCCTCCAGCTCAGTGTGCTGGCCCCCACCAGCCATGCACCTGCCACCTCTGTGACACTGGAGTTCAGTGTCAGTGCACCACAGGAAAGACACAGCTTACCAAGGATTGCTTTTTAAGCCATAGAGATGTCGCCCTAGAAACCTGAGAATGCTGGATGGAGCTCTGAGCAACCTGGTCTAGTGAAAGGTGCCCCTGCCCATTGGGCTGGAACAAGATGATCTTTAAGGTCCCTGACAACCCAAACCATTCTATGATTCTATGGTATCTCTGAAAATGTCAGAAGCCTGGAGAGCTGTGCTCACCCTCCCCTGTAATTTCCAAGTTCACAGATCAGACTGCAAATAACCCTTTATTGGGTCTGGAGGGTGACAAGGATACAACTCCCTGAAGAGTACAAAATGCTGGCCAAAGGCATGTCTTCACCAGTGCTGCATGTTTGCTTCTCCTAGTGACACCAATCTTCTGCACTGAACACTTTGTCTGACATGTCCTTCACCTGAACTTCAGTAACATGAGCAGTGATAAGCTGCAATGGACAACAAAGTGCCTGTAACATTCCATATTCTCCTCCCCTCAAAAAACCCACAAACAAACAGAAACCACACACACACAAAAAAAAAAAAAAAAAAACAAAAACCCCAACAAAACAAACAAAAAACAAAAGGAGAAAGAAGAAAAGGGAAAAGGATTGGTCTTTTCTCAAGGGCTCCAGCTCTATTATAACCACCCCAAAATTGTGTCCCAGACAAAACATGGGACTTGTGCTTCCCTGTGATGTTTCACACTCAGTCCAGCTCCCATCCCCTGCAAAAACATGCACCTCCTCCAGTTGAAAATTCTACTTCCTCCAGCACACCCAGGTGGGCTCCTATGCATCCCCTTCAATGAGTGATGACCTGATGCTGAAAAATGACAGATACTCCCTCTGGATGCAAAATAAACAGAGAAGTTCAAAAAGCACACCTGGAGCAGAGAGGAGGCTCCAGGAACAGCAGCAGTTGGCAGCAGCCCCTGGTGAGGAGACAGCAGAGGAATGAGGGCCATCCCTACCCATGTGCCCAGGTAGGTTGCAGCATTGGGAGCTCCTTCTCCTGAACCAGGAAAGGAGAAAGGAGAGGGTCAGCACCAGCAGCTTCATCACTGGTGGTGACACAAACACATCCCTCTGTCACTGCTGCTGTCCCCTTCACCAGGATCTGGGTCAAAGCACCTGGACCACCACATCCCTTATGTCCTGCAGCAAGAGCCAACCACTCCACAAGTCCTGGCTGGCTCCAGTACCACAGGCAGCATTCATCCAAGCATGCATCCAAACCTTCAGGAGGTGGACCAGAGCACACATACTGTCAGGCTGGCAGAGGACAGTATGGATGTCCTGCTGCAGACATAAGCACCACGCATGGTGTGCCAGGCTGCTCCAGACCCTCTTAGCCTCTAGCTGTACTTATCTCTCATCTTTTTATTTGTGTTATCTTCATCTGAAGCCCAAACAAGTCCCAGAAACTTCCACCACCTGCCTCTGGCCAAACTGGGGCATCACATTCAGCCCTTCCCCCTCCTGAGGTACCACGCTGGGGGTAGACATTGGGTTACACACTGCTCGGAGCAGTTTCAACTATTTGACTCCAGAGATCCTTTAAGACTCTTGGACAAATGCCATTGCTCCCAGCGAGTTGTTACTGTTTGCTTTGTCAGTGTGTTGAACAGCCTTTTCCGCGGCCACTTCAGTTTCAGACATGTTGGCTGGCAAACCCCACCCTGCTGAAGCATGGGTTCTGCCACCCTGATCTCATCACTCAACACTTCACACGGCCTGCAGAGGTGTCTGTGATGGCCTTGTCTCTGCTGTGCACTCCCTGCACAGCCTGACCACTGCTTTGCCCTTCAGAACATCTGGCAGGTGCCTGATGAGTTTCAAGAGAGATCTGTTAGTTTTGATTCCTTTTGCTAGTTGTTCCTTGTTTGACCTGACTTGCTGCCTCTCTATACGCAACATTACAGAGTTTCTCTTTCCATTTGTGTACAACTCCAGACACTTTTTGTAACTTCCTTTGCCCCACTGGACAATTGTTTCAGTAGCCCACAAGAAAGGTGTTCACTCAATTTTTCAGCCCATGAGCATGCCCAATTACTAAGGATGGCAAAGTGTGACAGGAGTGAATTCAGGCAATGAAAATGTGAAAGGGGTGACACTTTTGGACACACAGCAGAAAACACTTGTGGCAGGTGCTGTTATAGCTCATCAGTGCTGGGCACTGGAATGTCACAGAGAGAGGGTGAGAGAGGAGGAAGAGGGAACAGCAACAGTGCCCCAGCAGGTACAGTGATGTGGTAGCAAGAGGAGGGAAAAGGGCTTAGGCACAAATGAAGGGTGGTGGCAGAGGGTTGTATGGGGTGGTAACACCAACTTACCACCATATCCAGGTGCAGCTTGCACAGAAGGAGGGCACAGTTTTCTTCTCTTTTTACGTTCATTCACTACTGTTCTTTCCATTCAGCTCCCTCTCCTTCCCTTGTTTTCAACACTACTTTTTATCATTTTGTTTTCCCTCTTTTTAAAACAGTTCTGAAATCCCACATTTATTTAATATCTGTTTCTTTATAATTTCCCGATTTTCCCTTCTTTTATATTTCTGTACATACCTAAATCATCCTCATAGTCCTGTCCTCCCATGAAATACCATCAACATCTCATTAAGTCTTTAGCATGAAAGATCAATTGCCTCAGCTGATAAATATGCACATCCTCATACCAGGAGCAAATACTTTGAGATTCTTTACTGGCAGGGGATGTGAAAGATGAAAGGCCTGAGACCCCTTGAAGTGGACCATTTTTCAAGGTACAGAGGAAGATTCTTTCCCTAAGAAAACAACCTATGTGTCTCACTTGATGAAAACCCCTTCCTGACCCCAAACTTCTTGGTACATGAGCTTTATCTGAAGCAGCTGAAATCTTGATAGAGAGTTAAAAGAAGAAATGACAGAATGGGACAATGGCTATAATGAAATCTCACTCTTCTCAGTATCACTAGAAGTAGTCACATGGCTTGACTAAGATTCACCAATTGGCCTTTTCTGTTTAAAAGAAAGGATGAAATGAAAAAAAAAAAGTATATGAATCCAGATATTTTGAGTCCTACAGAGGATGAACCTCAGACTACTTCATTATAAAAACCAAGACAACACCAAAGAGCATCTTGTCACCTAATGCTTCACTTGAATTTATCAAGCTCCACCTTCAACAAAATTTAGGTTCTTTGCCTCCTGGACCATTCCAGAGCTTTCAGACCATTTCCAGACCACTGCATCACTGCTAGCCTGAGATCTTGTGAGGGAAGACATAAAACCTCTCAAGCAGAAGAATGAATTAGACACACTGGAACAAATAAAAGGGAGACTGGAAAGTGGGGGTGATGCCTTCTGCTCCTCCTTTTGAGAAGGGTGTGGTGGAGGTGTTCCATTGGGCCATTTGGCTATGAAATATGGCCTTGCCCATAAAAGAATTTATAGATTTATATTTATATAAAGGATTTACAGATTAACTTTTCTTCTTAAGGGCTTCATTCCATTTGGATTCCCTTTCCAAGGGTATAGGTTTTGGTTTGTATTCCAGAGCAGGAGAGATCACCATCAGCAAAGTGGAGCTGAGAAGCAGAAGCACTGGGGTGGGCATGAAACCACTGGGGTGGGAGTGTCTTGGGCAGGGGCATTTGGAGAATCATATGAGGCAGTGTCAAAAATCAAGCTAAACATAAGCAAGGCTGTCCTGTCACTAGGTCTGGTAAAGCTGCAGGCAGGCAGCAGGGAGCACCTGCGTCCACGGAGCTGTGGGAGGCTGGTGCTGCCTTGGGCTCGCAGGGATGGGACCAGCCCCAGCCCTGTCGTCTCTGTTGGCTGAGGAGCAGCAGCTGCTGGATGAAAAACTGGTCTGAGGTGGCTGCTTCTGCCTCCGATTTCCAGAAACAGGCAGGAGAGACCAGGAAAGGGGTGGGGATAGAGAGCCGGGGAGTCAGGTGGCTGTGATAATGGTTATATTGTTAGGGCTGGAATGAGGAAATCGAAGATTTCACCTGGAGAGAGCAGAGGAGGGTGGGGGGATCTCAAAGAGGCTCCATCTTGATTGCCCACTTATTAATTGCCCCTCAGGACAAAGCAGATGCAGAACCAGTCCTATAGGTTTGCTGGCTGCTGTTCCAGCCTGGACTGTCCACCCAGCTTCCAGATGTGTGTTAGCTTAGCTGTGCCAGTGGGTGGGAATTTTCATCTGGCCATTTCCACACTGGTCCCATAGCAGCAGGACTGGAACGAGATCAGGGTCTGTGGAGCTGTGGATCTCGCTGAGTGATCCTCCATGAGGGAATGTGCAGCAGAGGTAGAGCTTGGTGACTCTGGCTCTCTCCTGCAGGACAATGGGTCGCAAGGAATGAAGATGGCAGCTGGCCCGGACACAAAGTAGTGTGGCTAAAGGGCCTGGGTCACTGGGATGCTTCAGCACCCTGTCTGATACACCATTTCCAGGCAGCAACATCCCTCGTCCTGAAATATGGACAATGGGAGTCAGCTACATTTTTCAAAAGCTAATTCAGGTTTGCCAGATGAGTCTTCTGGGGTTCACTCATCTTGACTTCATTCTCCTAGGAAGAGAGAGTGGGTTCTCCCCACCCAGACTCCAGCAGGACTCTCTCAGTCCCACAACATTTTATTTTCACTATTCTACCCAGCAGCCTCCCATCTTTCATTCTGAAATGTGTGGATAACACAGCTTCAACTTTTCCCCCGGGGCTCCCTTTTGTTTCACCAGAGTGGCTCTCTACAGCCACACTGCTCCTACAAGGTACAAATGAAGACGTACATTGAAAATCAATGGGGACAAATCTCCCGGGGACACGAAGGCATGGAATTGTGTACATGGACATGCTCTTGCTGCTGTGGTATCACTGGTTATTTGGGACAGACACCACTGCTGCCTGGCAAGTTACATCAGTAGCAAGGGAGGAAGGCATTCAACAGCCCAACCATTTGCAAACCAGATTGGTTTGCAAATCCCTGATGGCTTTTAAACAATGACCCTCTGGAGATCACCACCTCTGCCTCAAGGGGGTCCCCGCAAGCTGGGAAAACACCTCCTTGCTGAAGACAGCGGCTATGCAATGTGTTGCCTCACATCCACACATCTTTGCCACCTGTTGTGCTGGGGCTTCTTTGGCCAAACAAACTTACAGCAACATCCATGATGCCATTCCTCGACTGTTCGGGTCGCTAGTTTTAATGCAGAAAAATATAAGCAGCTGCGGGTAATCCAGAAATAATGCCAAAATAATCACTGGCTGCTGCCTTGCAGCAGAAGTACAATTGCATTTACAGGTATACAAAAGAATTAAAACTGATTTTTTCGAAGGTCTTACAAGTAGTTCAAAAGAATCTATACCCAACAGGGAGAGATTTTTATTTTTTTTTTCCTACGACAGTAGCAGTGCTTAGAAAAGATGTTTGTTCTATTTTAAAATGTTGTGTATACTACAGATCATTATCAAATTCCTACCTGGGCAGATAATCGACGTAGCTGGTAAGGAAACATTTCAAATTTGGTGCCATAAAGAGTGATTCATGTTTACTCAAAGGTTGTTCAGTAGCAATAAAAAGCAATCATGCATTCAGAGCTTGTGAAGATGTAATATAAAGAAGCACTGCCCAGAACAACAGGGCGCTTCCCATTTCACAAGAGAAGGAACTAGTGACAAGGATCTTCTCAGCACAAAGCTCCTTGGACTTAAAATGCTGTTAGAGGTGGAGTAAATATGATGAACCAAAACTTCCAGAGGATTTGTAGAACCTGATGGAAGATCTTTCATTCTATTGCAAGACTTGGGATTTCAAAAGACATATTATCCCATAATTGCTGAGCCTGAATGGCAGTGAGGGTAATAACCATCAGTGTCAAAACCAGTTCCATCAGGTGTGACTCACCTTGATAGGTCAATAGCACTGGATGGAAATATCCAGAAAGTTGTGGATGGACAAAATGCTCAGAAGACTCTTGTGTGAGGAACACTTTCCACTCTCCCTCTCTCTTGGGAGAGAGGAGTGAACCTAATCACCTAAATAATCAACAGGAGCTGCTTTTGCAAACTGCACCAGTAACTCCTTACCACTGTCTTCTGTTAGTGCAGTGTGCCTGAGGAAAATGGTGCCATTTATGACTGACAGTCTGGGTCAGAAAATGGTCACTTCAGTGATCTACTTCATGTACACACTAGAGAAAAAAAAATATAATAATAAATAAAAACCCCACAGCACAAAAACTGGGAAGATGTAAGTAATAATTAAAAAACCCAGCCCTGAAGAGTTAGCAAATTCTGGTCTGATGGTGACTGAGACTGGCAGCTGAGCTGGCAGCAGGACACTTGTTTGCATTGTCTCTAAAGTACTTGGGGAATCAAGTGGTAATTGTGTTTGTAGCAATGTTAAAAATAAGTTTTTGATTCCTTCGTGCATTGGCAGTCTATCTGCAGCACACCGGTGTGACCATGGGGACATAGGCACTTTTACAGAGCCACGGCCAAAGGTGATATTCGCATGACTGAAGCAACTGGAAGGCACCTCAGGGCTGATACATGCTCCAAGGTGTGCCACAGCAGCAGATAACAGCAGGGCAGCCCAGCAGCACACTGGGGGGAGAAAGAGGGAAAGGGGAATTGCTCAGAGCACAGCTGCCACAGCCACTGGAAATGGTCAAAGGGCCAGTAAATGGCTTTTCAATTCTTAAAAAAAACCAAAACCCGAACAACACACGGATAAAGTCTTCTCAAAAATGAATTTAGATGTGTATGTGTATAGAGAGATACACAGATACATTTGTGTTATCATTATCTGCTATTCTTGTCCAAACTTGGTCAAAGGCCAAAAATTCTCCCAAACAACATGGTGATGGAAATAGTCAGTTATGACAAAATGCTGAGAAAATTGCTTTAGACTGTCATTTGGATGCAGCAAATCAGTCCAAATGTTTGAGGTTTTAATTATTTCTCAAGTCAAAAGCAAACAAAAAATATAAGTTACTGTTGTCTCATACCAACAAAGAGGACCATGTTTGTGAAGTCATTTGCAAAGATCAGTTGAAGCCAATTTCAAATCCTTTTACAAATGTGGAAATCAGAGAATGCCTATGGGTTACCAAATTTGGCTGTAGTTGCTTAGTGGGTGCTGTTAACTTAAATGCATATGAAAGGAGCATTTTCAGGGGCAAAATAACTTTTGTTACTCCAGTAAGATAATCACAATTCCAGTAAGAGAGAGGTGGTACTGGAGGATTAGTCCATTGGTGTAACAGTAATTTCAGGAAATTGTGGTGATATAAGTTAATATTGTGGTAATACAAGCTTCTCTTTGTGAAGCAACTGGATTAGAGCTCCATAGGTTCCACTGGTAATTGTAAGCACCAATGCTGCATAATTCCCAGTCCCCAGGTCTGTCTGAGTGCATAAAACTTGCAAGTGGCACAAGTCAGAAGAGCTCGCATTCCTCCACTAAATGACATTTCCTACTGGCACAGACCAAGATGGGGTATGGAGCTGCACGGACTCTCTGCCCAGCCCAGGATAATTCTAATCATGGAATGGCTTGGGTTGGAAGGGACCTTAAAGGTCATCTAGTTCCAACCCCCCCTGCCATGGCCAGGGACACCTTCCACTAGATCAGGTTGCTCAAAGCCCCGTCCAACCCGGCCTTGAACGCTTCCAGCCATGTGGCTTCTACAGTTTCTCTGGGAAATCTGTTCCAGTCCCTCACCAATCTCACAGAGAAAAATTTCTCCCTAAAATCTAATCAAAACCCCCCTTATTTCAGTTTGAAGCCATTCCACCTTGTCCTATCACCACATGTCCTGATGAACAGCCCCTTCCCAGCTCTCTTGTAGCCCTGCTAGATAATGGAAGGCTGGGCCTTGCCTCCCCAAGCTGAACAACCCCAACTCTCCCCTCGCAGCCCACCTTCACAGGAGAGGCTCTCCAGCCCTCTGATCATCTTCCTGGCCTCCTCTGGACTCTTTCCTAAAAGGACCATGTACTTCCTGAGTTGGGGGTCCCAGAAGTGGATGCAGTAATGCTCTGAGGAAGCTGCATTTTAATAAGCATTTGATACAATATTAGTCCGTTCACCCCATGCCACCCTCTTTTCACAACTTTTAACTTCGATGAGAGTTCAAGAATAATTTACTGGAGATACAATTAAGTTTAGAACTGCGGGGAAAACGATGCTTTAGCTCTGCATTGCTTTCCGTCAGGGGACGGAGCTAGCGGAACGCTCCAAGTTGTGGCTGTAGGTTTCTAACAAGCACCTGTCACAAGGCTGCTCCTGGCACGCTGACACTTAACTGCTGGCCTCAAAAGTGTACTGCTTGCCATTTTCAAGCATGGGATTTTGCAATATGAAGAGGTGAAAGTGGCTGGGTATTTTGAGTCACTAACCAAACCACAGCTAACTCAACAAGGATCAAAATTCAGTAACCAAAGACTCTGAACAAGGACTTATCTGAAGGAGGTAACCAGAAAGGGAAGAAATAAGTGAAAACTTCAGAGAGAGCTAGTTTGAAAGCAAATAACTGGGAGAAAAGATCGGCAAAGGAGTTTCACGGTTATAATGACGGGAGAGCGTTTGGGACTTTTGGTCACATTTTGCTAAGGGTGTTCATTTCCGTGGTCCAAGAAAACACTGGAAGGCTTTGGGTTATGCCGGGAGGCCTTGATTTCCCGGGCACAGCTCAGCAAAACAAGTTCCCACTCACGGTCGGGGCAGGCGCTTATGGACACAGAAGGTTTCTTTAGTTAAGGCACCGGCAAAGGCAAGGCGGTAACTGAGGTGTATCACCCACTCGCCCCAGCCTTCTCTGTCCCAGCTCCATCTCTCTCGCAGATCTCACGCTAAACTCGGCTTTGCCCTTGGAAAGCACGATTTGGCCATGAAAGGCAGGCCCTCAGGGCCGGTCGCTGGCGGGGCCAGGTCCCGGGGCGGAGGGACCGTGGGGGCTCCGGGCCGGNGCCGTGACCCCGGCGGGGCGGGCGGGGGGCGCCGCCGCGGGAGGGACGGGGGGAAGGATCGACCCCGTGTCACAAGAGGGACACCCCCTCTTGTGTCACACGGAGGGGGACCTGCAGCCCGGGTGGGGGTCAGGAAGGAGAGGGTGAAAGCAGCGGGGCTTGGGGAGGGTGGTGATGCAGAGCCAGTTTGCGCAGCGGGCATGGCTTCCCGGAGCCACAGTCTGTGCTGGGCGACCCACTAATTCTGAGTTTGTGCTGTAGAGCGGGTCTGTGAAGGCAGGGAAGATGCCAGAAGGAGAGAAAATGAGACAATGTAAGCAAGAGGAGGAGCAGCAGCAGAAAGAAGAGGAGCGCGAGGGTCTCATCGAATTCTACAGTTCCTACCAGGAGCTGTTCCAGTTCTTCTGCAGCAACACAACCATCCACGGGGCTATCCGCCTGGTGTGCTCCAAAAAGAACAAGATGAAGACAGCCTTCTGGTCCGTTCTCTTCTTTCTCACCTTCGGCTTAATGTACTGGCAGTTCGGGATCCTCTACAGGGAGTACTTCAGCTACCCTGTCAACCTCAACCTCAACCTGAACTCCGACAGGCTGACTTTCCCGGCCGTGACGCTGTGCACCCTCAACCCGTACAGGTAAGAAACACACCTGCAGAGATGCTGACTGCCTTGACTTTGATGGGTGCAGGATAAAGGCACATGCTCTGGTTCTCCTCGTGGTCCTCGACTGCCCACTGTTGTAGCAGTGCCGGTGGAAAGGACACTTTTCAGAGGCCTTTGCTGCTGCAGGGCACTCACAGTAAGGCATGTGAGCTTAGGCAGCTCTGCTCGGTGGTGTATTTAGCAGGCTGCAATGTAAACTGCCCACGGGGCTAGATCGGATTTACTTCTCTCCTGCAAGATAGCCTGCAGCAAGGGGTTAGATTTACAGCTGGTGGCAGGAATACCCGGAATCACCCCAGCAAACTTTGCTGCGTGTCTTATTCAGAGCTGTTTGTGTCCATCCAGCCCTAAACCTGGTGGTCTTCTCTCCCTCCTGTACAGATACAGCGCCATCCGAAAGCAGCTGGATAAACTGGACCAAATCACCCACCAGACACTGCTAGACCTCTATGACTACAACATGTCTCTGCCACAAAGAGACTGGTCCACATCGTCCACACAAAGGCGTAGCTCAAGGAGCCTGCTCCATCATGTCCAGCGCCATCCTTTGCGGAGGCAGAAGCGGGATAACTTAGTCAACTTGCCAGAGAACAGTCCCTCAGTGGACAAGAATGACTGGAAAATTGGCTTTGTTCTGGTGAGATCCCTAGATACCCTGTGCCCTACCCACTCGAGTCTCTGCTGGCTATTTCTGTCTTGTGAGACCCTTGGCCATGCCTTTCCTTAAGCAGAAGTTTGATTAATCTCCACTGGCTTTTGCTAATGACAGATATAAATAGAGCTGAATCCTTTGCTCCATACAATCCTGCTCCCCAAATTCTGTCCATGTCCATGCAGGCCCCAGGGGACACGTGTCCATGTCAGTGTCCATCTCCCCAAGAGCAGGAAATCCTTGTCCTTCCTCAGGGTGCATCAGCCTTGCAGTTGCTTTTGAGAGCAGTTTATCAGTATCAGCCGCCGCATTGCCCAATAACAGCAAAGGAGAAAGTATTTGATGGTCCTGGGCCACCTGAAATGCGATCATGGTCGCAATTGCTCCTAGGTAGCAGCTTCCTCGCCCTAGGGTATCTGTGTTTGCATTTAAAAAGGCACTGAAGGACTGAAGCTAATCGCTGAGCAGTTAACTGGAGCTCCCACAGGATCACAAACGTTTTTCTGGACACACCCTGAAGGAAGGGCTCCCCACGCAAGAATTTAAAGCTCCTGGTTTTATACCAGGCAGAATTTATGTGCAGATTACCCTGTACACCTTGCTGCCACCAGGTTTTACTCAGCCTCGCTTATTCACTTGGCGTTGCCCTTCCACCGAGGAGCTGCCTTGTTTTTTTTCCATATCCTGCTGATCACCTGTTGGTCACACACAGGAGTTCTGTGGAACCCTTCACATCCTCGGTCATCTACTTGTGCTGAGCGAGCACAGTTTATCCATGGGCAGAGCCTTGGCCTTGTCTCCCGAACAAGAAGACTTCTCTGACACGGCTTTTCTCCTTCTTCACAGTGCAGTGAAAACAACGACTGTTTCCACCAGGCGTACTCCTCGGGAGTGGACGCTGTGCGGGAATGGTACAGCTTTCACTACATCAATATCCTGGCGCAGGTGCCGGATGCAAAAGCCCTGGACGAGTCTGACTTTGAGAATTTCATCTATGCTTGCCGCTTCAATGAGGCAACATGTGACAAGGCGTAAGTAGTGGAAGCACCCCTGAAAACACTTATTTTGTGGGCTCGAGGGGAATCAAGGAACCCACATTAGAGAACCTCTTTTCCGAGGTGGGATCGTTCCGTGCTCAGTTCCCATTTGAAAGATCAAATGATCTTTCTTGAGCGTGAGTTTTGCATATCAGGGCCACAGGTTCTGTGACCTGGAACTATGAGCCTCAAAGGATGATTATGCTTTTTTCTGTGTTTCACATAAATTAAATAATTATACTGCTACAAACACCAGAGTGGGCACAGATGTACAGTGCACAAGTATTTTTATTCTATCCTCCACAGTGGTAAAGTGGTACATATCAGCCCACATAAAGGAAGAAGAGAGAGTTGATACAAAAGGGCATTAAAACCCATCCCACTTTTCTCCTGCCATTGTTGGTCAAAAAGCCCCAAGGAGCTAGTTGAATGAAAACGATCTGCAGGGGAAGCAAAAGGGGTAGGAAAAGCTAAGAGTTTCATCAGTATTAGGAGGATAATACAGTAATTGTTAGCACTGCTAAAACCCATTTGGGCTCTGAAAAGCAGCAGGAAAATCCTTGTGCAAAAACCTGTACAGCTCCAGGACATTTTTTACAGCACATTTTAATTGCTTTTCCCTGTTTGTGTGAGTTTACATAACAAATACTGCCCATCTGCTGTAAGCCCCTCTCCCTGCTGATGGAAAGCAGAGCTGTTCCTTCCAGAAAGCCCTTCCCTGTTGTTTCACAGCTCTTCTCACTCTGCCTCTGTTTCTACCCCTCTCTCAGGAACTATACCCACTTCCACCATCCATTATATGGGAACTGCTACACCTTTAATGACAACAGCAGCAGCCTGTGGACATCCTCGCTGCCTGGAATCAATAATGGTGGGTGAGAGGCACTCTTTGGTAAGGAGAACAGCTTAGCTAGGAGTTACGGGCATCCTGCTGTGCTGCCACTGGTGGTGGCAGATTGCTGCCCTGCTCTGTCTCGCTCCAGCTGTTTTCACCTATTTGGAGACAGCTGTCTCATAGACAAGGCTGTCCCTCACCACTGCCCACGGAACTCTCTCTCCCTCACCAGTGCCTGATCCTTATGCTCTTTGCTTCCTCTGGATTTGTGCTGGCCCTTCCTGAAGTCCTCTGCTGAGCCACAGTGCTTGTGCTCCTGGTCTTCACCTTCTCCTTCCCCATTTTCCTCTTTCAAGAAACTGACCTGTTTATGCTCCTAAACCTCCCAAAACCTCCCCAGACCAAATCTTCAAACTTTTGTTCCATCTGGCTCCAAGTTTTTGCATGAAATCTCTCTCAATTCCAAGTTCTCTTTTTTCTTAGCCGTAGTGATGAAATCCAGTTTTGTCTGGCCTCTTCTGGAACCTCCAGCTTTTTCTCTAGCCTCCCTCCAGCCACCCTCTATTGCTGCCAAGCTTTGGTGCAGCCCTGGTTGATGTCTGTCATCCTTTATCTCTTTCAGACTCCCTTCTAACCATCCTGCTCTCCCTTCTCTGCTGCACCACAGCCAGCCATGACCTCCCTCTCGCTCTCCGATATTCCCTCAGGTCTCTCTCTGGTGGTGCGCACCGAGCAGAATGACTTCATCCCTCTGCTGTCCACGGTGACAGGAGCCAGGGTCATGGTCCACGACCAGAACGAGCCAGCCTTCATGGATGACGGGGGTTTCAATGTTCGTCCTGGCATCGAGACCTCCATCAGCATGAGAAAGGTGAGCAAGCAGAAGGGTGAGAGCTGTGGATGGGAGGTTTAATTGAGGATCTACAGTGTGTGTTTAAGGGAGGGGACTAATCACACAGAGTGAAGGGAGAGGAAGAAGAACAGCTTGCTGGACTAGACGAGAAGCATTTGGCTACAGTTTATCAGTGAATAATGAAATGGCAGCAAGCATGGGGAGCTGGCATCCCGAGGAAAGCATAAAGAGCAGATACTGATGGATGAGCAGTGTGTGGCATGGGAGAGTGGGAAGAGAACCACAAAGTGGAGTTGTTCTGTTGCAGGAGATGACCGTGCGCCTTGGGGGCAGTTACAGCGATTGCACAGAGGATGGCAGTGACGTGCCAGTGCAAAACCTGTACTCGTCCCGCTACACCGAGCAGGTAACTCACCCTCACCCCTCCCGGGCCGCCTTGTTTCTCCACTTTCCTGACATGCTTCAGCCCCCTAACGGCCATGCCTTTCCTTGGGCTCCGTTAAAAGTGTGATGTGATACAGGCAGCAGCGGGTTTGGTTCCCCTGATCAGCCTTCTCCACCTTATGTGCCTCCCAGGTCTGCATTCGCTCCTGCTTTCAGCTCAACATGGTAGAACGCTGTGGCTGTGCATATTACTTCTATCCCTTGCCCGATGGAGCGGAGTACTGTGACTACATGAAGCACACAGCCTGGGGTGAGTGGACAGCAGGGACAGCAGAGCTCGTGCCCACCTGAACCTGTTTGGTCGGCCCATGTCCCAGCACGTCTCATTGTCTTCAATGAGCTTCCTGGTGTGAGACATCTGAAAGACAGTCTTGCCTTGGATGATTAGCCCCTTGTGAAAGAAAACCTCTTCTGGGTTCCCCTCGCTGTCACACATCACCTTTTTTGTCTAAAGATACTGTGAGCTTACCGGGATTTACTTTCTTTGCTGTTCAGGCTACTGCTATTACAAACTCCTGGCTGAATTCAAAGCTGATGTGCTGGGCTGTTTCCACAAGTGTCGGAAGCCTTGCAAGTAAGTTGATCAGTCAGGCAGGAAGATTGGAAAGTATTCCTAGAAGTGTTGGGAAGCATTCACTGACTGGGCAAAAGCTTGAGTCAATAGCTGAGCCCCAACCTGAAATGTTATTTCTCCCATCAGGAAGCCAAAACACCTGAGAAGCATTAGGGTTGGCTTAGGGGTGAGCTCCCAAGGACCGTGCATTCCATGTGGTGGGAAGTGGGCAGGACTTCAGAATGGGAGGGAATCTCCAGCTGTGCCTGGGGATGGTGAGACCTGGCCCTGTGGCTCCTACAGCTTCAACAGCTAACACAGCCTCCTCTTGCCTTGCAGAATGACAGAATACCAGCTGTCAGCTGGATACTCCCGCTGGCCTTCTGCTGTCTCAGAGGTAAGGACAGGCTGTCCTGGCTTCCCAGCACTGCTCCCACCTCACATTTAGTCCTTCCTCAAGTGGTACTAAACTTGCAGGAGGTGACTGTGATCATGTAACACAATTTATTGCACTTTCATTTCAGGACTGGGTTTTCTACATGCTTTCACAACAGAACAAATACAATATCACATCCAAGAGGTGAGAGCCACTAAACAGAGACTGCATCCAAACCAGAAACCGTCCCAGTGGAACGTGCATGTTGGACATGTCAGAGTTAAGATTAAATCACTGATGGGAAGAGATCAGGCATGGGGCCTATGGACAAAGACAGTGGATTTGAGTCAGAGTAGATATATAGCAAGACTTCAGCAAGGACTGGGCACCCAAGTGAAAAATTTTGGAAGAGGTCAGATGTTGATACAAAAATAGTAAACCCCAGCACTTGCTGTGTTCTGGAGTCACAGGAAGTTCTCGTGGAAGAATGGGAAAGAGAGTGTGCAGAAGCTTTTGCCACAAACATTGGTTTTACAGTACAATGTCAGAAGTGCACTCTAAGTACCAAAGACTCTATTTAGTGCAGAATGAGAAAGCTGCAGAGATGGCAGAAAGCCTCTGGGTGGTATGTGTGGGAGAAGAACAGGGGGAAGAAGGGGACAGAAACAATTAGGCTTGGTGAAGAAATGTAGGGATTGAGGAGTTGGGGTTGCTGAGTGCCACCTTTCATTCACAGGAACGGAGTTGCCAAAGTGAATATCTTTTTTGAGGAGTGGAACTACAAGACCAACGGGGAGTCTCCAGCCTTCACGGTATATTTACCACTGTGTCTTCTCTGGCCACCCACTCCCCCACGATGTCCCTCCACTGTGGCAAGCTTTTGTTCCAGCAGCATTGCTGCTGGATATTGAGTTTCTTTTCCTTGGGCAGGGTGAGGGGAATCCCCCCCAGCACTACAGGGAAGAGGGAACAGGCAGAGAGGCAAAGTCCCAGACAAGGGCTGTTGTCACTGCTCTTTCTCCATCTCCTGCAGGTAGTGACTCTGCTGTCCCAGCTTGGGAACCAGTGGAGTCTCTGGTTTGGATCCTCTGTCCTGTCTGTGATGGAGCTTGCAGAGCTGGTTCTGGATTTCATTGCCATCACCTTTATCCTGGCCTTCCGCTGGTTCCGCTCTCGGCAGAAGCTGTCTCCACCGGGACCCCCTGTGACCAGTCAGGATAACACTGCTTTCCAAGATGAGGCACCAGCCCTCAGTGCTCCACATCGCTTCACTGTTGAGGCTGTAGTGACCACGCTGCCATCCTACAACAGCCTGGAACCACGTGGGCCAAGCAGGGATGGCGAGGTGGGGCACGAGTGAGGCAGCAGCTCCTTCCACTGTTCAGATGGGTGGCAGCTGGAGCAAAGGCTGCACACTTTGTCTGCGGGGCCTGCGTTTCCTTCTTTCTGGGGTGCTGCACGTGGACCATAGCAAAAGACTGCTCCGTGGCTGGCCTGGGCTCGTTGCTTTCACTTCTGTAGGCAAATTCTTCGCACACCTACATGTGCATGCATGCTTTCTTTTCCCTCCAGCAAGGATGCTGCCACAGTTCTGGTCTGTCATTAATTAAAGAGGTTTGACAGGTGTGACTGGCCTCTGTGGTATGACAAGGAACAGGAATGGAGTCTCAGCTGGGGTACAAATCTCTCAACAGGCTGAGCTTTGTTAAGCTTTCCCTAAACTAGTTGCTCTTTCCTCATTCTTCATGTCCAGCTCTGATCCCAAGACTGTGTCACCTACCCTCTCCTCCCCCAGAGGAGAGGCTACTTGAGACAAGAGCCATTGGCACGATCTCAATCTGTATTACGCACAATGCTCTGGAGAGGTGCTCGAAGCTTGCTGCCACTCCCAGGTCTGGGACAAAACACCCCTGGCAAAGTAAAGGCTCCCGTTTCAAGCTGCTTTTGTGGCATTGGTAGATATTGGGTGTCTCCCCTTCCTTGGGATATACCATACACATGTACATCCAGCTATCTGATTGCTTGCCAACAGCTCTGGGACAAATCGATCTCTACATCTGCCTGACCATTCCTGCTTTCTTCCTGAGGGAAACAAAGAGTTTGGCAGGATTATGCACACCCTCCAAAAATCCCAAACAGTACCTCTGCTGCCATGGGATCCTGCAAGAGAGGATCGGAGCAGCACAGGTCATGCAGTGCCTGTTCTGATCCTGCCAGCCTTTGTCTGGTCCACCCACAGAAACTGCTGAGCCTGTTCTTCCTGAGGGAAGTACAGCAGGCTTTAATCAAAAGTGTTTCCAAGGAAAGCCTTAGCCTATTTGATTTGACCTCGTGGGCAAAAATGCTCCTCTTCTCAGGAACTAACTTGGGGGCTTTTGTGTAAGAACACATTTCTTGCAGTGAGCTTGCCATACTCTTTTCTTACAAATACTCAGACTTCTGCTGCAATGGTGTTTGCACTTCACTTTATGGGGTATCAAGAGAGCAAGGGTGATGTCCTTAAAAACAGGATTATCCACTTCACAGGACAAACAGAGATACCAGAACTTAAGCAGTTTAGGTACACCTGTGGAACCCGGTAACCAATCACATTGCAAACAGACACTTTTGAATTTAAAAACTAGTTAATCATAAAAAAATAAAAACTGAAGCTACTTTTAAAATTAAGGTAGATGCAATGCCCTTGGGAAGCTGGACAAGTTTACTGCAGTATCTAAACTGTTGCCTAATTTTTCCCTTTGAGATGCTAAACACATGCTGGTTGTACTGCTCTTGCCTTGATTGCCTAAATGCACTGTTCAATTCCCAGCAGAGAGTGATTTTATTCTTCTTCACAGAACAAATGCTATGTTCTTTATTGCACAAATATTCCTGATTTTACAAATTTTATCCCAGTGCTCAGCTGATAACTCTTGTTTGAAAGTGAAGGTAATGTCTCTCTGCTAGGAATAGAAGCATGTAATTCAGGGGGTGTCCTTCAGCAAGGGTGGCAGCCCAGCAGGAGGGAAGGGCCTGCAACAAGCACTCAGAGGTGTGGGAACATGTTTTCCTCCCTTGGAGGCCACCACTAAAAAAAAAAAAGAATCAGAGCTTCCACAAACATGAAAGAATCCATTTTCTGTGTCTGATTTTAAATGAAGTAAAAAAGAATGAGGAAATAATAAAATCTCAAAATTGCCTCTGTGAAGGTACTTTCATGTTCTGTAAAAACACTGCCCAAGAGGCAGAGCTAAAAGCTAGGTTTAGTTGCTGAAGGTAACTTTGGCCACAATTAAAATACAAAAGGCAGGCAGATAGAGGAGCTAGGATGCTGCACCCAGCTCTTGGTCATGAATTCAGTACTGCAGACTGATGCCTTGGGTGTTTTCTAGCACACGAATGAGTAAAAACCTGACACTGGACACAGAGCTGTTTGCTTCACAAAGCCATCTTCAAATCAAGAAAGGAGAAAGAGCAGGTGCAACACCTAAAACAGTCTTTGTATACCATAAACATACGATGATTCATATGGTAAGCAATCATCCTTCCTCAATATCCAAAGAGTAAGACACGATTCTTCACATAACAGAACCATAAATAACCTTGTAATAACCATAAAATTGATGAGACCTGCTGCATCACACACAGTTAAGTGGGTGATTAAAGCAAGGTTAATCAGAGGCATAACTACTTGAAACAGTAAGTTCTCTTCATCATGAAGAAATACAGCTGCAGAAAGTGGTGATGTATTCCCTGGAGGAAGCTTGAACCATATTCTATCTGTTCCATAAAAGTGTTAGAATGAAAAAAAAAAAAAAATATGGGTTTTTGACTTTCAAATGAATGGCACCATTCAGGATAGCTGCAAATCCAGAGTTAAAAGCCTGTGCAAAGGTGAAGAAGCAGTTACACGAATTGGTAAATATATTAGCCCTTCCCGTCCTGTGAATCAGTGCAAAAATTGCCATCTTGGGAGAAATAAGGTGTTTGTTCCAGAAATAATCCCTACATTTCTTGTAGGCTGGCAAGACCACAAATGAGCAGATGTATAGTGAGCTTGGTCTGGCTGAAAACAACAGGCAAGAGCAGCAGTGCTGGAGTAAGAGCCAAAAAAATGGGAATATTTCACTGACAATGAAAATTGGAGAAAAGGAAAGAAAGTGTGCATCTATGGGGATCTGCAAAAGCCAAATTAAAGGTCTGAGCTGGGGTGAATTTGTACAAGATGAGAAAGCTGAGGGGATGTAAATGCTCAGTAGTCAAAGGTGTGTTAGAGGCATAGCAGTGTTATTTTGAGGACATGGAAAACACGCAGGGAACAGCTGGAGGTTGTATCTCTTTGGACTGGGAACAGATGTCCAAATAATTGTTTTTCCATAAGAATTAAGGTAATCGAGGAAAGGCATGGAAGTACAACATAAGTATCTAGGGAAGCTAGAAAAAAAAATGAGAGAACCTTCACTTTGGAAAATAAATTGTATGTTTAGAAGAACTAAACCCTGCTTGCTGGAGGGCTCAAGGGAAGCTGAACAGATAGATCAAGGTTTGACAGACTGCACAGACTGAGGTCAAACCAAGAAGGAATTTGAAGAAAGGGTTACCAAGCTCTTGGGACAGGTGCAATAAAATCTAAGGGTTACATCAAGAAATTAAAAGGGCAGTAGTGCTGCTGGTGAAAGGACACAGGGGAACCAGAGAGATCAGGAACATACCAGAGGCACAGCCACATTCAGTCACAGTTCTTTAACAATATGCAATATTTAAAGGGGGCTTGTAAGCACAAGAGGGGAAAGTGCCTTTAGCTTCCAAGTACATACTTAAAAGCAATCAACTAAAAAGAGCTTATAATCTTTATTTATTAAATTTTTAATAAGTTTATGGCAAATTTAGTTTTAAAAAATAGCACAAAGGCTTTTGGAAAAGAAGCTTCTGAGGAAAGAACATAAAAAGGTCATTTTGTCCTCTGCACAAATAATTTAGTGGATCTGTGCACTAAAGGAAAGGACGTTATGGGGCTGTTCATATTTGAAACCTGGGGAGCAAGTAAGGGTGTTCTGAATATGTGTTGCACTCTATCTCAGGCCAAAAATAGGTCAAAGCTTATCAGGAGTATGGAGGCTTAGGTATCTAACAGACATGGTTGAGTTGCCTATTTGTAAAACCTATATCTTTATCTGTTACATCTCTCAAAGCAATTATTTGTTTAGAGGTTAGAACAAAGATAAAACCTCCCCCTTATTACCTCTCTTCACCAAGTTAAGGCTTCCAGCCCCAGTGGATACATCAGAGCAGGGACCTCTGTCACTTGCCAAGGAAGCCAGGTTCATTAAAAAAGTGTTGATGCTGCATTCCAGCTCTGAACAAAAATCTCTCTTCCCCATCATCATTTGGTTACTCTCCAGCTGAGACAACAAACCCCACCATTGATGAAGGCTTGCACCAAGCTTTGACCAGCACAGAGACACCTCAGGAAAGGCCAGAGCCAATGCCTCAGGCATCTTGAAATATGAAAGTTTAGGGTATATCCATTTAGGAGCAGTACAGTTGAGGCTTTTCCCCCATCTGAAGACATCAGGATGAAGAAATTAACATGGGAGCTGCATGTTGGACAGAATGGTTTGGGTTGGAAGTGACCTGAAAGGTCATCTTAGCTCCAGCTCCCTGCCACAGACTGGGACACCTTCCACTAGACCAGGTTGCTCAAACCTGGTCATCCAATCCAGCTTTGAACACGTGCAGAGACAGAGCATCTACAGCTTCTCTGGGCAATTTCTTCCAGTTCAAGGGCATGTTAAGCATGTTCCATGTTTAAAGGCAGAGCTTGAATTGTTAATTAGACCTATAAAGAACTATTCTCCCAAAGCCTTGGCCTTGCTTTTGGAGCACATTTAAAACCCTGTTTTGGCTGGGATAACAGAGTGCAGGAGCAGCAGAAATGCTGATGCAGTACATAATGGCACCTCAGAAAAGCTTCCAGTAGAATATTATATTGTCAATGCCTACCAGAGGATTTATGGCTAGACATGCAAGTCTTTGCAAACATCCACAACATGACTCATGAACTGAGCTCAACCCTGGGGCAATTTTCAGCAGTATGTTCAGCCCCAGCTCTGTACTCCAGAGCAGCTGCCAGCTTTGGAAAACAAGCATTGAATCCCCAGCTTTGGCAAGGGACTTGGACACTACATCATCAACAGTCTAAAAATGCATCTGTCCTAAGAAAACATTTTACCTATCCCCCTACATGAATGAGACTGAGAACCGACAGGAACGCAACACAAAACTTGGCAGGAATTGTAGCATGACTTGCTCATTCAGGTTGTGCAGGCCTGAACTGCATGGAATTTTAGACTGCACATGCTGCTTTTAACCCATCAGCCAGTCCAGACACTCTCCTTTCCCAGGAAGGCTTCCATCTTTGAAGAATTTGTCTAGCTGCCTTGCTCCAAATTCACCACTGAGAATTCTGGCATGTTCATTGTTCTGGTGTGATTTTGGTGATGTTTAAGACCTCTGTCATTTCCTTTTAATGAGTTTCAAATGTACAGTGAAGCAAAACAAAGGGGCACTTACCTTTATTCTAGTCATGCTGCAAGATATGTTGTGAACAGCGTCCTACTCTTGGAGGTCTTCATTTGGGTCCTGAACTTATATTCCAACACCAATGGAGAATTGTTTTCTGGGATTAAGGATCTGAGGTTATTGAAATCTCAAGGTAGCACAGCCTGAGAGCCAGAGCTGACACTAACATACTAATGCACAGAAGGCAGTCTCCTGAACAGGAAAGAGGCTGGGCATTTGGTGGCTTAAAGTAGACTTGGCTTGGGCAGCCTCATCCCAAGCTGGTTCTCACATCTTGTTACAGACTTACCAGAGCCAGTCTAGCACAACTGGAACTATCATCATTTTACAATGGAAAACCAGCCACTGCTTTGAGGGACAGAACTTCAGGTATGTGTGTGCTATGGAAGTCACAAAAAAACAAAAACAAAACAATTCCACAAGTTTGGCATCCCAACCCCTTCCCACTCCCTGACAGACCAGACAGACTCAGTAAGGTGGTGAATTGTGTTTCTTAGAGACCATTAAAAGTACATGAGCTGATTTCTAGAACATGCCAGAGGAGATTACAGTTGTGTTTATAGAGGAAGTAAATAAACTGCACGTGCATGAGTGGCTGTGATGCCATGGGCAGCAGAGTCCCTTGCTTTTACTAAGAGGGCCTTGGTGATTTGCTTTGCCCGTGCACAGAGACACAAAGGAGGGGAAAGGGAGCAGAGGAGGAGGCAACATACAACACTTAAGAGAAAGAAATGAAAGAGACAACCTAGAGGGACCTCAGCTCCCAGAGAGACAGGAGGAATGGGGCACCAAAGGCTTGTTTAGAAGAGTTTGAGAGAATTGCTGGTCTGAGGGCCTCAAGCTTGTAAGCCTACCCCCTAAAATGAGAACAGTAGGTAGCACAAGCAGGCCCTGGCTCCTCTTCAGTAGATGAACTTCTGACCATCCATCCCATCTCAGTTCCGCAGGGAATTAGGGAAGTGTTCAGGGGATGAGGGCTGCTTCACTCCAGATCTTCATCTCTGCCCTCCCCTGAGGCGGAGAGTAATGGAATTGCAGGGAGATGAACTCAAATGAAATGCTGGGGCATGGAAGTGAGCATGCAAAACCTAGCCCCTTGCCAGATGCCCTGGGAGGCACAAAGGGGCTTCCCCAGCACATCCAATGAAACAAAAAGCATCTGCTCCTCCCATCTTTTTTCTGTCTGGGAACTCCAGTGATGTCCTCTCTGCCTCCTCTTAAGCCTAAACAGAACCCAAGGTATTCTAGAACAGAGGCAGAGCTTTCTGAATTAAAGGAGTACCCTCTTTCCAGTCTAGCTCAGCTTGTTAAAAAAGTTAAAAGACAAGATACACATTCCTTGGAAGACTACAGAAACAGGGCAGCTCATTTAACCTATGTCTGACAACACATTCAAACAACTTACAACTCTTGTTACTGTTGATAGAGAAGAACAAAGGAACTGCTCACAGAAAGCCACAGCCACAAGTTTACTTCCCTCAGAGACCACTCTGGACCTAAATTCAAGAGAACCCATTGCAAGCAGGAGGATTCAGTTCAATCAGCAAGATCTTTAGAGACATAAGTTGCCAAAATGGGACATGTGATGTCACTTTGCAATAACCATGCCCAGAGCACAATTTCCCTTTGAATCCCCAGCTAAATATTTCAAGTGTTTTCTAACTCCTGCTGAAAGTTAGGGCTTGGTGGCAGCAGAAACAGAGCAGATATTCTTAATCAGAAAGCTGTGCAGCTCATTCAGTCTCATCTGGAATACCTCCAGCCCCCTTCATCTCTATCTGCTATGGCAGTGAGCCTCCTTGACATTCACCCCAGTGACACAAAAGCAAAACACCAATTCCCATTCTGCCACTACTCCAAAGTCTTCCTTCTGGAAAGCTACAAGACAGTAGGAAGCTACAGGGTCCTGGCTTGTGTGTGCATAGATGAAAGGCATATTTGACACTCCCCACCAGACTAATTGTTGTTCATTCGATCCTTGTGGTGAGAGTCTTTACTCCCACTCATGCCTTTTAGATAGTAACAATGCTCCTTTCACTTAACTGTGTTTAGCCTGTTGCATTTGGCTGAGGTAATCATGTAGGCCCTCCTTTATAAAAACTGAAACGGCCATGTTCAGGCAGCAAGTCATCTGGAAATAAGGACAGGCAGAATAATCATTTCTTCACGTGCTCACCTTTCCATGGCTAGAGAAATCTACATCACTACATGTAGCTTAGATGGCTCACAGCCACTGGCCAACACAAACTAGCTTTTATATCAGCAGCTCAATGAAAAGCTCAAGTCATGCTGCCAGTCTTTTTAGACAGAACACTAAAGACTCTCACATGCTGAAGTCCTTCATCCCAAAAGGCACTGTGTTAAGGCATTCTTATTTTACTAGAGTTCACACAGGCACTATTTGACAAGCTTACACCCAAAAGTAAAGACAAGAAGTTCCCTGCAGAAGAGCAGGAGCAAACAGCTACCCACTCTTCCTCAACTTCCCTTTCCTCTAAACTTAGAGGATGCTCCCTAAAGCTGCAGCAGCTATTGAAAAGTCTACCTATGTTTAGTAAGCGGCTCAGAGTCCTACACAGAAGATAAATTAAAACCAATAAAGAAATCAATGAAGAAGCTAGGTGAAAGGGAAGGAAAGGAAAAATTCAGAGGCAAGAAGAGACAGGCAAGGTAATAGGGGACAGGAGGATGCAGACTGAAGGAGCTACATTTAAGTAAAAAAGTAGACTGGAGACAAAGCAACAGAAAAAAGAAAAAAGGAAAGAACAAAAGGGCAAGTTATACCAAAGGCCCCTCAGAGAACTCCAAACCACCCACCAGGGAAGGAACTTGCCAACCCACCCACTCAAGGGTAAAACCCCTCATACTTACAGGTATGCCTGCCTGACTTGACAGGCAGAATTTCCCATTTCTACAATGATGGCATTCCCCATTCTTCATATTACTAGGTAAAGCATACCATTTCCACACTAAATGAGGGAGCTCCAGCACTTCTACCTCCCTTTCCCAAAGACTGGAATTGACACTTATGCAACTAAGACCCTCAAGATCTCAAAACAAAAAGGTAAAGTTTAAAGTACTCTAGCTAGAGCTGGTGTTTCCTCACCTTTGAGCCTGAGGTTCTTGGTACTTACTTGCAATCACCACCACCACAAGGGCACCAATCACTCCCATCATGATCATCATCTGAAGAAAAAGATTGTCCAAGAGCAATACTCAGAACAGATTGACAAATTCCCATGCTTCCTGACAGCCAGGGAACCTAAGCCAGGCCCTGAAGGCATGACAGCCAAGGCATAAAAGCCTTCCCACAGTGAAAGAATCTTAAGCATTAGACACTGTTAGTAAGCCCCGGCTATACTCAAAAAAGCCCTTCGGGAGGGGAATAGCTCAGTTCCCTCCTGACCAAGAGGATCATGGCACTAGGAAACTCACCTTGCAGTTCTTCCACCAGTACTTCCTTTTGAGTTTTGCTGCACTACTTTCAAATACTGAAGCGCCAGCCTGAAGTGCATCTGCCCGGTCATCCAGCTCTGACAGCTTCTCATCTCGTTGCAGCACCTTGTCCACATTTACACACATTATATCAACTACCTGCAGAAGGAAGAATAATAGGAGCAGTTACATTGGTAAAGACAGTTGAAAAAGTAAGAGGACTAATTTAGCCAATGACTGATGCTGTAATACTAGCAAACAAAAAACATGAACAAGGTAGGGGGAAAAGATCAGGATAAGAAAGAAATCCTTTCAAGTCACTGCCTACTTTGAAATAAAAAAAAAAAAAAAAAAAAAAAAAAAAAAAAAAATCCAAGACTCGCTGTTAAAACATCAGTTCAAGTACGCTTCAACCAGGTCCTCAGCCTCACATTCTCACCTGCTTTTAAGAGTTCTCCATTCCAGCACCAAGCCAAAGCCACCCTCCTTATGAGAGGAGTCATACGCTCACTTCCCCGAGAGCTGCAAAATTACCTTATGAGCTTCACGTTGCTGCCCCAGAGAGGCACAAAGGCGCTACTGCGCGTCAGCAGCCAAGCCGCTGACACTGATCCCGGGAAGCCAGGCAAGGGTTCCCCCACATCACTGCACACTGTATTCCCTCGAAGCAGCCCGCAGGGATTAAGAGCTGGCCTGGATGCTGTACAGCTTTATTTCCATAAGAGATGCACCATAACGAGGTACCAAAAAACCAAAAAAAACTAGCAAGGCTGGCCCTTGGAAATCGTATCTGGAATTAAGTGGCTTTTAAACATAAAGCAATCTCTAGCCTCTTTAACAGGTTTGCCACCCTATTTTTGAGTACTGAGCATTAATTCATTTCTGGCTTCGGCATGACAAAAGGAGCCACCCCCTCAGCGACAGACACGGGTCAAGAACATCGCTGCTGCAGAGCAGTGGGAGAAGAGTCCAGGCATCCATCAGGGCTGGCAGAGCTACTGACCTCCTGCACTTGGGCCTGCGTCTGCTGCAGCCGGCGGTTGCTGGTCAGGTTGGGGGGAGCCCCGGGGGGACCCCCAGCGGGGGCTGCCCCTTCGGGAGCTCCTCCTTCGGGAGCTCCTCCTTCGGGAGCCCCGGGAGCGGGCTGCTGAGCTGGGTCAGACCTAGGGGAACACACACATGAAAGAATAGAAAACTCGGCCACTCCAGAGAGAACCTCCCAAATCCACACGAACCCCAGAGACCCCAGGCTGCAGCAGCGCTGGCAGCAGCCTCGGGAGCCTGCAGCCCCGCTGGATCTCGCCGGATCGGGAACAGGCGGGCTCGTGGAAAAGTCTAAAGCAGAGGCAAGCCCAGAGGGCAGCGGGAATAGAACCAGCCCCTCATCGAAGGAGCTTGCGGGTGCGGTCGCGCCAAGCACTGCAGCCTCTCGGGGGGAACAGCGACCTGGCCGCAGGGCCGTGACCAGGAGCCGGGGAAGGAAGGTGTGGGAAGGGAGACAGGGAGGCAGCGCGGGAGCACGCCGAGGGGACCAGGCAGCCACCGGGCTGGGCGCAGTGGTGGCCGTCAGCCAGGTTGGCTCCAGCTGGGGCCGCACACATCACCGCTGGGGCACGGCCCACGCACCCACTCACCCATGCAGTCGGCGGGGGAGCAGGACCGCCCGGGGGCGGTGT